GCGGGGGCGGCGCCCCGCGCGGCGCGGGCGGCTGTGGGGCAGGCGCGGCGCGGAGCCCCGTGCGGTGCCGCCATCGCCATGCCGCGCTCGCTCAACTCCATCGTGGCCGTGTGCCAGAACATGGGCATCGGCAAGGACGGCGGCCTGCCCTGGCCGCCGCTCAGGTACGGCGCGCGCGCGGGACTACAAGTCCCGGCGTGCACCGCTGCGCGCGGCCGCCCGCGGGCGGCGCGGGGCCCCGCGGGGCGCGCAGGGACTCGTAGTCGCAGGGGCCGCGGGGCACGAGGCGGGAAAGGCGCGGCGAGCAACGCGCGGCGGGCTCGGCYGCCGTCCGGGGGCCTCCCCGCCGGCTCTGCCGCGTTTGCTGCAACCAAGCAAATAAAAAGTATTCATACCCAGCGCGGTCTTTATTTTTCCTGCTTTGTTTTCTAGGAATGAGTTTAAGTATTTCCAGAGAATGACTAGCACGTCCCAGGTGGAAGGTAACGTTGTGCTTGCCGCCCTGAGCGCCTCTGGCACTGGTCACAGCCAAGAGCAGAAACTCGCTTTTGCCYAGATGTCAAAGTCCAGCCTCCCGGCACACGCTGCCCTTCTCCCCGCATAGACACTGCCCAGCTTTTTCTGCTTGCTCCTCAGTAAAATCCAACAATATATARTTATAATCATTCTATATTTACATGCAATTATTATATAATGCCTTGCTATTTCTTATGTTCATACTTAATGTTTTAAACAAAACTGCATTTTCATATAAATCAAAGAGTCTTTTTTTTTAACTAAAGGTCTAAAAAGTACTTAATCCCTTTGCGAACACGTAAGCTGCCCGTTAAGTCAGAGGAAGAAATTGGTAATGAATCACGTTTCTTTGCTGCAGTTACTCTGCAAACAAGCTCCCAGTTCTGTCTCCCAGCCCCTGTGGGAATCCCATAAGCAAGCAGGGACAGCAGCCCAAGAGGTGGGATGAGCAGCCCGTTGGGCCCGGGCGCTTCCCACTGCGGAACAGACAGCTCTTGCCGCCTTGCTCCTCGCTCCCTCTTTTGTCTTGGCTTTACTGCTTGCTTCGCTGGTCCYTAAGCTGCCCTAACTCGGTATTTGGAGGCTGGGGGATGGTCTCACGCTCCAGGATGAATTTGTGCCCATGGGCAGAGCCGATCCAGCGGCAGAGCAACACGGGTAGCGCCTCGTGATGCTCTTTCAGCCCGGAGTGCAAGGGGCTGCCTTGGTGTCGGCTGTCCACCAAGGCACTGGGGTGAGTGAACAACTTCAGAGCCAGAGCCAGAAAACCCCTTCTCTGCTGATACTGAGCTCAGGAGGAGGAGGTTAAGTCCAGCAGATGTCACTAAACTACCACAACAACAAGCTTAGTACAGAGAAGTTGTTCTGTTTAAATGAATGCGTTCTCTCTCCCGCAGGTAAACAGAATGCAGTGATAATGGGTAAAAAAACCTGGTTTTCCATTCCGGAGAAGAATCGCCCTTTAAAAGACCGAGTTAATATAGTGCTCAGCAGAGAACTCAAGTATGTATGCGAAGAGTTAGGAGCCTGTAAATCAAGTCACAAATCTAAACTAAAAAATATGGATAGAGTGACTATACATTTTAATAATACTTTTTTAGTAATACTTTTTAGTAATACTTTTTATAAAGTAATTCTAAATGTAATTGTTAAAAACTGTTTAGAAAATCTCTCTCCAGTTGTTTCTGAGTGATACCATTACTTCATTCTTCTTTACATAAAACAAATACTAGTCCTGGATCTACATAGAAACCATCGTGTCTTAGTCCTTTTGACTTATGTATTAAATTCTGTTTCTCTTGTTTCTGGTTACTGACTTTGTTATTCTCTTCTTGAGACTAACTTTTATTAGCATTTAAGGGAAAAGAACATGTTCTTTTTTAGAGCTTTTTTTCTGACGCATCACTCACAATCATTCAAATATTCTTATAKAACAATGTTTGCTATAGTGCTTTACTATTTTGGAAAGTGTTAGGTTTGCTTGTTTTTGTTTTTTTTTTCTGAATATAAGGTATGGAACATTAGAGTCTTTCTTGACAAGTTTTATTGGAAAAATATTAATGTTTTAGAATGGGTTTCTATTCTATATTGGTCTGTATTTGGTTAGATATTTAAATCCCCATGCTTTTTTCCATCTACTACAAAACTTCAGGTATATAATTTATATTGCTTCTGAAGTCACATTTATGAATGAATTCTAATTTATTAAGCACCGTGCAGTCAGATGAGAATTCTAGCATGATAGGCATTTCAAAAGAGTAAACTGATAGGAAGCATTTAATAACTTGTCAATTCAGCAAWATACATTATGTGTCTATGCATATTGATTATCATGATGGATGTCTTTTAAGTTAAATAATAAAACTTTGTTTTTCTAGGGAACTCCCAAAGGGAGCACATTATCTTTCCAAAAGTCTGGATGATGCTTTAGCTCTTCTGGATTCGCCAGAATTAACAAGTAAAGTAGACATGGTTTGGATTGTTGGAGGCACTTCAGTGTATAAGGTACCTTTAAAGTGAACATCATAAATGACTAATTTTCTGCAGATGGARGAAGTGTGGCTCAGGTCCCTGTTCCACCTGCTTTAGGAAGCTCAGAGACAAGCTTTTCCCTCATTATGACCCAGCAAACTCCAGTGATACCAACAAGTCTTAGAGTGCTAAAATGACTGTTCTGATGTTTCTTGCCTAGTTTACACCTGGTAGAGAGGTAGGTTTCATGAATCTCTTCTCTATAACCTAGGGAATCTGTCTATAAAATAGTCCCTCTACTTTCTTTTTTTCTTTTTTAATTTGTAGTCTTACAATCACTTTTACATGTGGTGAAGTCTTCTCTCTATCCATCCAAGTCCAAATCTACTCAGTGATAATTGGGTAGTATCATAAAGAAATAGCCTATACTTTATTCTCAGGTGTCTGCTGTCTGGTGCCAAGTGGTACATTTATTTTTGGAGGCAGATTCTCTTCAGATTAGCTGTCACACAGGAGCAAGAGATTGGATTAGGCTTCTGCCTAATACTCTGCAGTTCTGCAGGATACACAGTGTGGGCAAAAACGACTGCCTCGTGTGCCTGCACCGTCATCTAGTGCTTCAAAGACTGACAGTTTCTGCTTGCTCTTACAGCCTGTTCTGTAGGCTTCTAATTTAACTATTTTCCTGTGCTGGATGGCATTTCATAGAGAACAATGATATTTTTAAGACTATTACTCACCCTTACTTAGAAAGATTGTAAGTATACAGTTTCGATCAAAGGAGTTTTTGCAACATATTGCTGTGTTGGTTAGCATAAGGAATCTGACTTAAATTTTAACTGTTTTCCCTCTTTCAAGCTTCTATTCAAGATGTTTTAAATGAGTTTTTAATTCACCAAGAATATGTCAGTTTTGTACAGATTACTGCATTTAAACTAGCATTATGGTCTTAATTAAAAGGGTTTGATGGAAGCTGTGCCACTTTATGAAAGCTGCCAATAATATTTTTAGTGTCTTTATTAAAGATGCACAAGGGAATAGTACCACTATAGCATGTAGTAATGTGTGAGAAGTAAAATACCAATTGATTACCAACTGAATCGTTTTATTCAGTAATAGTAGGTATTTACCTTTAACGCCTTATTTTGATCTTACTGTTTTTATATGGTTTAAAGGTTTAGAACAGCCTGTGTTTATTCGATATAAACCTGTTATGAAGAAAGTGGCTGTAACTGCTTTAGCAAGGGGCTGCTGCAGGATTGATCTGAAACAGACAGTGCTGAGTACAGGACATTCTCACTGTGAGCACTTGGACAACTGGAAATCAAACTCCTTTACAAGGACAAACTGTGATGAGGGAAGCAGGTGACTCTGGAAAGCATCATGCTTTCCTTTAAACTGTCTCCTGCAGGTGAGGGTGCCTGCCCCAACCACCCAGCCTTTCCTGTTGCTGATGCTGTACCTGGCTTGCTTCTGTTCCTTCTCATCCCTGAGTAACACTATGATGATGCCTCCTGAGTAAATYCTCTTTTGCATTTGTGCGTGGCCACACAAGTGTGCAGTGGAGAGGGAACAGTGAGCTCACACATGTGCTCGTGGCACTTGTTTTGGGAGGACTCCCTGCTTGTCACAGACTGCTGCAGGCTCCTCGAGGGCTCAGTAGAAACATGGAATAATGCCATTTTTAGTCTTCACCACTGCAGGTGCTCTGCTGACCTTGTCCTTGGCACAGGAGATGAACTCAGGCCAGTAGGAGCTCCTTGTTCTGGGCATTTGGAGAACAAGGAGTGAGTGTAGCAGATGTGAAGGTGCAGAGCTGAGGCTGTGCCAAGAGTTTGCATACAGCTCTGCCACTGCCAGACATCACTTCCACAATTCCTGCCTTTCCTCTGCCAAGAGGAGTGAGCCTGTCAGTCTCGGAACACCTACAATGCAGCTGTCTGTTGCTTAGGGCCCTCTTGCCCACAGCTCCTAGGTTCTCAAGCACAGTTTTCTCCAGAGTCGTGGGAAGTACTGGCATAAGCTTATTTCTGCCTTAAGTACCTTAAAGAGCAGAGAAAGGAAAAGCTCTGGTAAGATAAATTCCACTGACAGGTTACCTTCATGCCTTGTTCAACAGCAGACTGGGGGAAGACTGCCTCACYTGGGACCTGGCTGGCCTAGGGAAGGCAGAGCAGCTGGATATAGTAGGCATTTTGGTAGGGAGCAGGGAGAGTTCAGCAGAGTGTCGGTGTGAGGAAGTGAGGGCAGAAAGGATGGAAAACAGCAGTCCCTTGCACAGAGGACTGTGTATGCTGGTTCAGTAATCTCCTCCAGCTTCAAAACGTCCTCAAGGGGGAGCTTTCGAGGCTGTTTATTGTCTGAGATTTACCTAAAGGCAGCCTTCATCTTCTTAAATTTGATATGATACTGCTCACCTCGTGAGGATTGTAATCTTGTGCTGCAGCCACAAAGTGATAATCTTGTCTGCAAGGAAGGTCCTAGAGCTCCCACAGCACAGATTTACAAGCAGAGTCCTTGATCCCAGTATGACACCATGCTGGACCATCAGCGATCTGCTTGATCTGCTGACTTGGAGGCATTGATGTTATTACTGACCACGTGGATGCGAATGGAGAAGTAGAGTGGCCCAGAGGAGGCCAGCAGACCACAGCACATATGAAGGCGTTAGGCAACGTGAGAGGTGCCCCGTGATGTTGCACAAGCCCTTGAGGCTCTGAGAACTCCGAGAGGTTTTTAGGTAGTTGCTGTGTGCTGGAAAACCTGTGGCACTGTGACTCACTCATTTGTTCTGTCTCTTGAGTCCCTATTAACAGTTGGAGCGTATCGGACAGGCTCCTGGAAGAGATTTTTGATGTGGTTTCATCCCAAAGAAATTCACTTCGTACACACTAAGATTGCTCCCCACTGCAAGCAAAGTGGGGACAACTGGACTATTCACTTCAAAGCCACATTTCTGACCTAAAGCAACCAAGTAGTTGCACGCAGTATGGAGGTACCGTCTCTTAACTACGAAGTTCAGATCTTGGCTTTATTTGTGGAAAAACAGTACTACCTGGAGATCGCAAGGAAGTCTGGTGAATATAAATGGTGCCAGCGTTTTTTACACCAAATTTAAACTGCGTGCTTGAAATAAATTCGCAACAACCATTAGATCTTGCTAGGAATCGGAACTGAGGGTCTAGTCACATTCCCAAGTAATGAACAGAGGCTTTATGATGGCCTCTTTTTAAAAGCAGGCACAGGTGTACCTATGTGGATGGAATGCTCTTACAGTAATATTGTATGCTGAGGGTTTAATATAAATCTTGTTTTATAAAGATAAGTGTGCACATATCCATAGCAGTAGTGAACTTAACCAGCGGGAAAAAAAATGCAACAAAACTTAAAATTATATATATATATATATAAAATATATAATTTTATATATATATAATATATATATACATATATTATATATTTATATATATATATTTATATATAATTATATTATATATATATATATATAAAGGCTAAAGGTCAAACCACCTTGATAAAGCACTTATCAAACATTTAAAAATGTCACTTCTATTTTATATGTTCCTACTCAGATTGTTGCTTTCTCAGTGCCACAGAAGCAAACGACGACATTCAAGGTCGCATTGCTGAAGTACAGAATTGTAATTTCATAACAAGAACAAGAAGTTCTTTTTCTTTCATATGTTTCRTCTTTTTTTTTTGCTATTTAGTTATTATCTAGGCTGGGAATAACAGAAAATAGATGCTKTAGATAAATAGCATTTGGGGAAATTCTTTAAAGAGGCATGAGCTGGAAAATTTAATTTTCAGTGATCTCCAAGGGAAAACTTTATCTAATTGTAATGCTTTATCTAATTTTCAGGTGTTTTTGGTAATCTTCTATTTCCTCTCATTCTTCAGAATTACTGAATTATAAAGTTGCTATTCATATTTACTGCACTATTTCTCTTGCAAATGTTTAATTACTGCTTAACTAGAATTTATTCATGAAGCCTATAAGGCTCACTAGGTTATGAATAGCCTGAGTGTGTTTTGAGCACTGATTTGCTAAGCCTCAAATCTTTGCTATAAGTTTGACCCCTTTAAGAGATAAGAATAATTCCTGTCCCTACCTTTGTTGTGGGGTTTTTTTGTTGTTTCGTTTTTTTCCCAAAGCTGCCAAAACTTTACCAGCTAATACCTGGTATGTTTAATAAAGACTACCTTTTACTTAGAATGTCTGAATTCCCTATAAGATATAAAAGAGGTAGAATTTTCTCTCTCTCCCTCCCCTGCATGTAAGGCAAAATGCTTTTAAACTGTGTACTTACAGGACTAGAGACTGACGTGTGTGTGTTGCTTTCAGCCCGAGATGTAAGCAGGGGCTGAGATCCAGTTATGGGAGAGCTGGGCAGCGAGCTCATTTTTCCACACTCACCCACTGCATTCCCGTGGGCKGGCATCGCTGCCGTTCTCTTGGAGCGCAGCTGACTGGGAACACGAGTGATCATTCTGGTGGCCTCACAGGTGGCAGGTTGGTGGTGGGTGTTTTACCAAACTCAGACTTATTCTGCAAGGGTAGATGGCCCTAAGCACTTATGTATCCAAGGAAGATTGCCGTCTTCCCAACACATAAGCAAACGGGATGCTTATATTTTATTATTGCTGTGGCACTCCTCCTTTATTGAAGAATTTTCGCTCTTGGCTGTGTGTAGTTGTCTAATGAGGAAGACAGCAGTGRGAAGAAAATTTGGCCTCTATTCCTATGTCCCTTTAGGAGCAGAGGAATCCCTTCTGAGCAAGGATTAGAGGCGTCTTAATGCAATTCTGTAGCATCTTTTTTATATAAAAGTGTCAGGATCACAGCATTGCTGTTAACAGCACTGCAGCTCCCCCTTCTCACCCTCACAAAAATCCATTTATTGTAAAAAAAAGATGTATTTTTACAACTAAAATATATAATTAATGTACTTATGCCTCAGGAGACCAATGCTTCTTGTTCTTACCTAGTCTAAATTAAGATTAGATGAAGCAGAACTACAGTGCTAGCAATGGACTAGTGCATTTAACTAATAATTTCTTTTAAAAGAAGTTAAAGAACACTGTGATGTACAGGTCTAGCTAAGATTCTTCTAGATAGGTTTTAAAACCTAGTTTCTTCATATTTCTGCACATTTGRTAAGGACACGACTAGCCTTTCCAGTACATTCTTCAAAATAAAACCAGAGGATTTTTTAGCATAGGAAAGGAAGATAAAATATTCCTATTACTCTTAACCAAGCTGAGTGTCCTTGTTCTTATGAACAAACATTGATTTGACATTCCTTGGGGAAAAAATAATTACTAGAGAAGGTTAACCTATGAATCAGAGTTGCAGTCACAAATCATGCAGCTATGAAAGGCTGTTGCTTTTTAAGTWCTTACTGAGTTAATGGTAAAGGAAAAGGCTCAAAAGGCCCAGAAACACACAAGAAAGTCTAGTGAGTGAAGTGTAACTATTTCTGTATGGGCAGGGTTTTCAGTAAGGTTGATGGAAAATTTTGGTTATGAAAGGTGCAATTAATTGGCAATTGCTGCACCTGCCTTTGTGTCTGGCAGAAAACTGGTGATAGGAACTATCACAATATTCTCTCCATCCCAAAATTTAGCCTTAGCAGCTTGGGAAAGAGTTTTTCAAAGGTACTAACTTGCATTTGATGGACCTAAAACTTTGTGAGACTTCTAGCTCTCAGATTTTTATATATATAAAATAATTACTTTAATATGCTTGTGACTTTTAAAATACAAATTGCATATGTGATTCAAATACATTTTAAGCCTTGAAAACCAAATGCAAGTGAAACAAATGTTTCTCTTGATTTTTTTTTCCTTTATCATGTTCTCCTATTTTGTTTGAATCAGCAATGCTGTTGTCTAGTAGACACTTGACTTGTTGTCTAGAAAGACACTTGAAAAAATAAGTGCCGCAGAGGGTTGCTTTGTCTGTTTTATTTGGTTTMTGTAACCAGTAGAAGATGGAGAAGTAGAAGCACTGTGTCTTCCTTCTAAAATCTGAGAATCTTTAAGTGACGAGAGGCAATTTCTGCAGCAATCAGTTGTTGTGCCTGCTAGATTACAGTGATTTGGTAATAAAGCTATAAAAGATTAGCTTTCTGTATTGTACTTCTTAAACTGCTTGTACTGTGCAATCACTGTTTGCTGCAGAACTTTAGCTGTGTTTTAACCTGTATTCTACAAAGAGAAACTTCCCCAAGGTGATGGTCCTATAAAGGCAGATGTAGTATTTGACGTGGCTGTCATGCTTTGTGATTCAGAGACAGGCCTACTGAGGGTGCTTGGGAGGCAGTGAAAAGAGCAGAGTATATATAAAGAGCTCCAACTCATGCAGAGGATGCCTTACCTAGGATGAGAGGAGGGGTCCTGCTGCCCCTGCTCTCCTCCTTCCTCTCTCGTGGAATCTCCTCTGGTTTGACAGGTGGTTGTGCTGTTTCTGGAGGAACAGTCCAACAGCCACAGTTTTGACATTCTGTGCTCTGAAGAGAACTAAAATCAGATTTGCTTTTCCCTAGTCTAGTAGGTTATTTCCCTAGTCTGTTAGCTCAGTAGCTGCTGTGTAAGAAGGGAAGCCTGTGGGCAGAGCGAATGGATAAACCTGTCCCAGGGAAACCAGGACCTGTACAGAGAGAATCCTAGGAGAATTAAGTGACTAACAGAAGAAAAACAAAAATAGAACTGCTATTACTAAACTCATTTCCTAMTTGCTGGGAATGAGTTGCCTGTTGAGTATCCTACTAACTTTCCACAGTATTGCATCAGCACTGGAACTGGATTTAGATGCTGCATATTCTATGTAAGTGTCCAAGATCTACTAATATATTCTATAATGTGATATGCTCTGTATGTCATGTTAAAACTAGGGAGCATTCGCCTTACTCTGTTAATAGAATAAATATACATAATATATCATTCCTTCATTAAACTCAGAGTAAGTATTTCAGAATTCTGTCAGATCAGCACTTTGCATCCCAGAACATATTTCCATTACCAAAAAAAGGTGGTGAAATTCATAGGGTGAATTGGACAAGGCAAGAGAAAATAGTACTTGAAGGAAAAAAAAAAAAGATATCTGAAGGGTCTTATCTCTCGGCGAGAAAAGTGATAAAGAAAACCAGCATGTCAAACAGATCTCATTTAACATCGATGTTGTCTTACAATGCAACATCAACAATGTCAGTAACAAGAATAATACTTCATGCATCTTTGAGCTGTTTTTCAGTGGAGAACTCCATTTTTAATCCTTTCTTTTCTTTTTAAAGGCAGCAATGGAGAAGCCAATTAATCATCGCCTGTTTCTGACAAGAATTTTGCAGGAATTTGAAAGTGACACATTTTTTCCAGAAATTGACTTCAACAACTTCAAACTTCTCCCAGAGTAAGGATCAAGATGCATAAGTGTCTTGTGTTCAGATGGCAGAATTCATAATTTACTGAATGATTTTTCCCCAGAATCACATTTTATATAGAATCTGGAATTTGCCATCTTAGAACACCCCAAGTGAGAAGGGTTTTGAACCTTGTTACATTTCTTCAACCCTCCTGTAACAAACCTTCCTTGACAAAGGACATGTCATTTTGCCAGCAAAGCAACTTTTGTAATTTCTCACTTGAAAATTGCTTAAATATTTACAAAGATTCATAATTGCCAATATTATCAGTCAATAGGTTATTTTAGTCTCTGTAAGTGTCTTTGTTGGATTGTCAACGGCAAATTACATGGGTTTGAACAGAAAGAGTTGAGCCTGTATATATATATTTTTTAAAGTTCATTCTTGTCTCTTAAGCAAATTGCTTCTTCCTAGAAATTTTGTTAGAACCGATATTACATTTTAAGTTTCTACCATTCATTTTGGTTTCTTTTCATATTGTCTTTATCGTATTSCAGCCATTCGTGTTCTCTGCAAGGAGATGATATCCAAGGGCGGTGGTGGGATAGTAAGAAATTCAACAGAATTTCTGCCTTAAGAACAAGCAGAAGGAAAGAAACTCCTCCTCTTCTTGCTGCTCCCGTTTTTTTTTGGCCCCACCTAGTTACAGATCAGCAGTGAAAGAAATACAAATGCAAGACAGGTTCCCTGCCTGCAACCCCATGACAGCAGAGTGGATTAGCATTGAAGAGAGGGAGAGCAGGCAGAGATGCAAAATGAAGGCTGCTGGAGAGACRAGCAGGATCAGTGGGAAGAATGAGTCACCTCCTTCACTTCTAACATATTCTGAACAGCTCTGTGCMTTATACCATAAGGCTACTTCAAGATACTGATCATTGATCCAAAGCTGCCCCTCTTCCCCTTTGTTTTTTTCTCAGGAATGCCTTGTTTGGATTTAGACAATGAACTAAAATGAGAATTTGCTCCTCAAACATTAATTTATATGAAAGCAGCCTTTTTTTTTCCACTACTAAAATAGAAACCTAAGAGAAGTCTGTCTCTGCAATTTTTTTCCTCCCTCGAAATCAGCGTTACTTATTCAGAACTTTTATTCTATTACAGCAAGCTGAAGAGACTTTTAAAGGGTCTATTAACTGTTTTAGTAACGCGGGAATAAAAGGAAACGTTTTGCAAGGTAGTGATCACCTGCTTGAAGCTGCAGAGTTTGTAAGAGGCCTTTAGCAACAGCATTTCCTTTACACCATCTGTGTAAAGCAAAGATGTTTGCATCTACTTCTGCCTCTATAGACATTTCAAATAATATGATAAAGGCCTTAATCAAACTGTTTCATTGATTGATTTTTTTTTTTATATTGATGTATACTTTCTTCATTTCAAATAGTGCCTTCTCCTAGCAGTTAATGTAATTCCTAAAACCAGACAGGCAATCAGTATTCCTGTGGTAAGGATGGCATTTTCATCTATTTCAAACAACTCTCTTCTGATTGATTGGAAAAATTACCAGTGACTCATAAGGATATTTTTATCTACTCATTGGCCTTTCTTGTTCCCTTACTCTCTCTCCAGATACCCTGGTGTCCCTGCTGGTATCCAAGAAGAAAACGGCATCCAGTACAAGTTTGAAGTGTATGAAAAGGTTGTCTCGGCACAATAAACGAGGCTTTCTGAACTTCCACATAAGGGTAAGCATTTTAAATCATCAAGTGCGTGTAAATTGAGTGTAAATATATATGTATGGCATTGTTGCTAGAAAATCCTGCTTGATAGTGCAATACTCCAGCAGTGACTGACTCCAGAAAACAGTGCACTTGGAACATGCATCGTGCAGTAGAAACGGGAGTGCAGTCAGGTGGCTCTAAGTAATGCCCCAAAGGTTGCAGAAGAACTTGTATTCATCTCTACAACCCAAGGCAACCTCCCTAACAATGACATGAGCAAAGAAGGCAGATGTAGACTGAATGAGAACTTTTCTAACTAAAATACGTGTTTTGAATATGATATTTTTTTTTTCCTCTAGTTTGGCATATCTACTAATTCAACAAGTCCAACACTGAGAAGGCATCAAAGATTCTAAGCTTGATTGGGATGGTTTCTACATTTATAAGGACCTTTTCAATGTGTGGAAGAAAGGGAAATTAAGTTTGAAAGCATAACAAAGGATAAGAAGGAATAAGATTGCTCAAGTAATGTTGAAATGGAGCTCAGAAGTCTCAGGCAGTAATCCAGGGATACCCGGATCCTTCATGGAAGTCCTTTATCATCATCTTAGCCATCCTGGGTACATGGCCTACATCATTCCTCTTGACTGAAAATACTGTATTACAGCTTAATCTGATGAAGTTGTTTAGTTTTCCATTGACCTAACACTTGTGTAAAAGCTTGCAGATCCTTCTGGCTTCCCTACAAAACTGCTATGTCAGCTTGTCTGTGACCACATTGTTGTGCAAGAACATAAACATACGTCCTTAATAGTGTCTTTTTCCTGTCCTTTCTGAGTTTTATCAAAACGTATGGTGTTAACTTACTTTGTCAGTGGATTTCAAATGTGGTGTGTGGCATAGAAATACGGCCTATGAACAGATCATGGGCTTCCCTTTCTTCTTTGGAGGAGCTGAGATGGTACCATTCTGCTTTATTATTCCGCAGCAGTGGGAAGCATCACCTGGCACTGTGCTCCCATGGCATTCTGGAGGAGTGGAGTACCAAGGGGTGCCAGATGCCTCTGTGCCGGCACTGACAAGGCCTCACAGCACCAGCCACGCTAGTGCGTTGCTGTGTTCTGACTGCCCCTGCCCGGGATGTGCTTTGCCCAGCTCTGCTTCCCTGTGCTCCAGCTACCACCCTGAGGATGAGAGTGGACCAGAAGGGATCCCTGCCTCCTCGTCACTGCTGGTCAACCTGGGAAAGTTAAACCTTTAATTGAAGGAACCTCAAGGAACTTAGACCTCAAAAATCTGCCACCTCTTTSCCTAGAGCAATAGCATTTTTAAAGCTTCATCACATGAAGCGGTATGAGAGGTTCATTGATAAGGCAAAAACATTTAGAATATCGACTTTGAACAGCCATTGAGTTTTTCATGACAGCATGACAACAATTTAATAGTGCCAAGAATAATTTTTGTAGTTTCTGTCTCTGTTCRTTTGCAGTCTTAAGAATCTAAGTACTTTCTTTTGTTGGTCTTCTTATTCTATACGTGCTACCTTTACAGCAGTCAATAAAGATTTAAACATCAATATCATATGCTTGTGTAATAGAGCAAAAAGCCTAATGGGATATAATTTGATAGATTTGCCAATACAAAGCAAGAGAATAAAGAGGATGAGGAGAAAGGCTGTGTTTGTTGTTGCTGTTTTGTTTTTTTTTTGGGGGGGGGGAGGTGCTATGGGGGGATGTGTGGCTGCAGGGGTGTTAAAACACCAATCAGTCACCCTGGTAATTAAGACAAAATAACTTTCCGAAAGAATGAAACATTTTAAATATTCCAGTTTACATTAAAAAAAATGAGAGGATTAAAAGCTATTGCACCACAAGTGCAATTTTGAACTAAGAAAATATATTTGATGGCAGTGAGGTTGGGTTCAGAAGATGTTCCTCTTAAAGACAAACATACTAATCACTGCTACGTTAGGTGCTTAGAGTTCCAGAAGATGGACAGGCAGAAGAGGACAACTCTGTGTGTGTTCAGGAAGCATACCTGAAGACCCTGTTGTCAGATATAGCATATTTCCAGAGGATGGAAGCTTGTTCTAGAATCTGTACCCTTCTTAAAGGTGCCTTCTCAAAATTGCAATGAGAAGAATGGATAGGCTGTTTTTGTAAAGGCCAGAGTTAATAGCTGGAATTTTTACGGGCACTTCTTTTCAAAAGCAAAAAACAATGTTTCCCTGCTTGATGGGCTGCTTGACAAAGCAACAGATACAGCAACTGCGTTTGCAGCTTCACCTGAACTGGGTATTGCCCCTGTTACCTTCCCATTCTAGCAGGGGGAATATAAATGCTTTGCATTACTGCTTGAAGAAAAAAATCTTTTGTTGCAAATACAACTTCTTCTCGTTTCTTGTTTACTCCTGTATCTTGCTGGTATAAGGATGCTGGAAAAGTCACAGATTCTCATTATGTCTAGCACAGCTTCTCCCCAGTTCTATGCAGCTAAGTGCAATGAAGAGCATCACAACTGACAATATAATTACCTACCACCAAGAAAAGTATAGTACAGATATAATTTAATCCCACTCATTCATGCTTTCCTAGGAACAAAATGTTCTCAACAGCCTGCAAATTTAGTTTTAAGGAACAATTGTTTTAACAAGATAGCTAAAATCAGAGGGTCTCCATAAGGGGTAAATAATGATAATAATAATGTTTCTGTTACTTGCCTATTATTTATTATCTCTCTTTTCTCTGACAATGGACAGCAATTTCCATCCAGTATCAGAAACCTAATGTTTTAAATAGTCATTATTAGTGTTATGGTCACTCTGTATTGAAGGACAGAATTGGGAACAACAGCCAGTCTCCATCATGAAAAGTAATTTTAAGTCTCCTAGCTTAGTAAACAGAATATTACTAGAATATATAAAGGAACTGAGGGAAAAAAGGAAGTGGCAGCAATTAGCTTATGCATATAATCTAAGGAAAATATCAAGTGTATAGGACATGAGCTCTTAACTTGAACCAGAAAATGATATTGTCTTCATCAGATTGCAGCTAATTTGTCAAAAGTTTAAACCTAATTCCAATATTATGCTGGCCTGTTCAAAAGATCTACCAACAGAAAAGAGAGACAAACAGACAGCAGTTCATCTGGACAGCAGAAAAAAAAAAAGCTCTGGGAAGGACTGTTTGCCAGACAGCACAGAAAGTGAGATAACCAGAATACAGGACTCTTACCAAAAGTTAATAAATATGAAATATTTATTAAACATACCTCATTAKAGGGCTGTACTTTAACTGTTTTTGCTTGCCCAGAAGGATTGCAGGAATGCAGCCTATCAAATCAGGGTGCACTCGCCAAAACCTTCAGATCCTGTAGGCAGGTCCTGGAACTAAAGAGTGGAAATGGGGAAAGAAGTGAGAAAAGGAGCTTGGTAGGATTACGTGGTTTCTTGTGATAGTTTGCCCTGTAACTGTAATTACAAARGAAACATTTTCAAACTGCCCCAGGATATAACACTTAAAAGATGGTATTAAAAAGAATTTCCTGAGTGAAGAATTTTCAGGATTGGGATGTGAAAGATTTCATCAGTTACTAGCGCTATCCTAGAGCTAAGTGCCTACGTTGTACCTGAAAGTGAGAATCCCATCCCAGAGTATCCAGGAGCCCACTGGTGAGCACTGTGTCCAGGCAGATCTTCTGCATCTCCTGGTGGACAACACACCCTCTGCGACAGCATGCGAGAAACTTGCTGATTTTTCTCCATCTCCAGTAACAAAGACTTGTTTTCTGCTTGCACAGTGAATCATGCATTCTCCTCTTCCCTTTTCTGTGTGCAGATCATTCTGTCCCCGGTTGCATATCACAAAAGCCAAGTTTGTAAGGAGAAGGCTTTTACTACATTAATTTGATGTAGTCAGTTAAACAGACAAACTTTCAGGCCTTTAGTCCTTTTCTGGTTGCATTCTCAAGCCTTTATTTTTTTCAGGKGACTTCAAGAAGGGTTTATGTGCCAACACGTGTTTGTTTATCTCCAGTTAAATTTTGTGGTTTAATAAAGTAGATTTTCTGTATATACTCATCTTGCTTTGCTTATATTTTCTAATGGTCTTGCTACAACATTTGTATGTCAACTTTACTCCTCAAGCTATGGCCCTCTCAGTTCTATCCATCGTCTCGTCAGCTGTCTTGCTGAACTGGAAATTTACAGAAAYTTAGAAGATACTTCTATTCAAAAAATTAGATATTTCAAATAGAACATTCATAAGTATGTCCTAGGTATTATTAATATTATCAAATTATGGATGCAATGAAAAGGRRAAAAAAGGAAAAAATATAATAAATACAGAACCTGAGAACTGAAATTAGATGATATGCCATAACTAACAGAAAAATAAAGCAAAGCCTTTTCCCCTAGCATACTGCTTAATGAGCTCCAAATATCAAGCAAGGAAAACTCTCATATAAAAGTTATTTTAACTATCAGGTGGGTAACTGATTTCATTAACAAGGACACTTACACAGAAACAGTGCATGCTGCTCAGCAGTAACATGCTCTTAACATTCCCCCTTCCTCGAAACACTGTTTTGCACACAAAAGCCTGCTGGAAACACTCACTCTCTTTTCCAATGGCTGTGCTAGCAATGAATGACTGTAGCCCTGTRCTGGAGACCACAGCTCAGCATGCCAGCAAGCACAGCCCAATGTGCTGCCTGCAGAGCCAGGTGGGATCATTTCAGCAGCCAGGGAGCAACTACCTCAGCAAATGATGTGACTCCCACTGGATTATCACTTCTCACACCAACCAGCTCTTGCAGTCACTGAAAACAGACAAATATTAAGTATCCTCCTCACAAGGAATAGCWTACTTAGAGCAAACCAGCTTAACTATTAATTTCACTCATCTTGTGCAGTTGTTATAAGGAGTAATTTAGTGTAGGAGCTTTCAAACTTTCCTGCGGTGTATCGGTAGGTTACTAAACATAGCAACAAAGTTCCTGGAAATTCTCTCTTGGGAAATCAGCTCCCTCTCCACCAGTGCAAGAATACTAGCTTTAATCTCTATATTTGCTCTTTTTAGTTTTTGTTTAAAAAGGTTAAAATTTAGATCTGGTTTCATCAACAGTCCTGTGTGGAAAAGCTTGTCAATATTCAACTTCAGAAAAAAAAAAAACCCAATGTGAACGTTCCTAATTTTGGTTCAGCCGTGAAAGCTGAACCAAAAAAAGGGCTTTCAGCAGTGAAGTTATTCTTTTCCTCACTGAATACTTTTGTGTTTATCACTCTTTCAGTCAGCTGAAATCAACTTCTTCACAACATTGAGTCTCTGTTTTTCATCGAAAGACAGTTTTCTTTGAAATGAAATCATGTAGAAATTTTCTGCTCTTTTTATTGTCAGAGAGCAGTTACACCATTTTCTACTGCACAAATGAGTATATTTTTTTCCTAGTGTATAATTCCAGATTCCTTCAGAAACTTGCAGTGCACAAAGGGTATAGACAAATTTTTGCAATAATTTAAGTAATTGTTCCTTTCATTCAATGTCTTATTTTTCTTCATGTGAAAGAAATCGACATCCTTCACCTTAGGGGAGAATAACTGCTTGGGCTGCTCAGTAAAAATAACTTGTCATGGAGAAAATGCTGCTTTTAAAATAAAAGCATATAATAAAACTCAGTGTGTATATTCACTAGTATATGAATTTCACACAAGCCTGTAAACAAATAAATTAGCAGACGATGTCTTAATTTATTATATACTTTATATTATCACACCTCCCCCTCCAAATAAAAGTGCTTTGATTAGAAATTGCCATATAGAAACAAGACACTGTATAAGAAGAAGCATGCTTTGGTATCCTCCTACCTTACTATTATGCCTAGCATTACAATGTCAAATCATTTAAAAACAACTCATTTCACTATTTTTATCTTCAGTTTTACAGAACAGGCTTACAAAAAAGAATCATTTCTATTTAGTCATATTCTATGTTAGTAATATCTGATTCACACTAAAAGAAATAAAAGCATTGAGAAAAAGTTATTTTATGGGCCCGCTGATTTACAACAGTTAAGAATCTAGCACTAAAGTTCTGCAATATTGCAAATGGATGTGTCAATGGAATAAGACATTTCAGTTTAATATATTTTCTAAAATCGTTTGAAAAACTCTTATTCCCTCACCAGTCATAATTATTCCTGCAAGCATCACAAGAGGGATTCCCACGCAGAGTCTATTTTTTAATTGAAGTAATTAGCCAAAATACAGCAAACATTTCAGAGAGCACATTGTTCCAGAAAGAAGCCTCCACGTCATAACTAGATAATTAAAATGTGCCTGAAAGAAATCGGGGGAAAATTCAATTCTGGCATTAACTCACTGAGGCCAAAGGGTAAATACCGGATTAAGTGTCAAAAGAATCAGTCTCAGAGGTCTTACCTGATGTGATTAATCCAGTAGAGTGTGTTAGCAAAGAAAGTATGTTATAAAGTATAAAAATAATCTATGCAAACAAATCAATAAAGTAATAAAGTGTTTTTCTACATTTTATGTTCCATGCGGAATTGTTGTGAGATTCCTAACAGAGTCCTATTTCTTTTCTAAGTTTGTTTCTTGGCTTGTTATTTGCTATTGCTTATAGATTTCTCTATATTCATCCTACCTCCTCTGCCTCCTCTGCTGCCTTTTAGACCTCTCCAGYAATGTCTCTAGCTCACTAGCACAATCCAACTTCATTTTTTTCAATCAGCAAGCAGCTAGCACTGTTACATTTAATAGAAATATTGTTCACAGCTTGTTATATTGCATTCCTCTTCTCAAACAGGTCCACTATAGTAAATGTTTGCCTCTTCATACAGCATTTTAAATGTACTATTTTAACTATAAAATGACATTAATATCAATTAAATATTCTCAGTTATCACAGTTCAGCTAAATTTATTATGCTTTTGTGCTTTTCCATTTATTCACATTTTAAAATATATATATATGTGCTAATTAATACATTAAGCTTTAAAAACTTACTAGTTATAATGACTTGTTATAATATCAGGCTACAATGACTTTACTATAATGTACTGTGTTCAAAGATTCTCACGCTAACGCATTATGATATAGTAATGACTATATAGAGCAAAATGTCTCCTCATTTTGAATCATTTTTTGTTAGTGTAGGTTGAAACCAGTCAGCGCTAGACGTTTTTGATCAGTGTTGCAGATGAGCATGAAACCCAGCCTGTTTACAATTTCCCATAGAAAGCAACATCTCCCCCCAAAGTCTGTTTCGGATCAAACCAAAATATTTAATTTTGTATTTTTTTCCATAAACAAAATCAAGCAGCGAACTTCCTCGATCCCAAGGATGCCCCAGGGAGCCAGGAAAGCCCCCTGCTGCCRAGGGGAGCACTTGGACACGCTGAGAGCACCGGGAGAAGCCGGGCTCACCATGTGCAAAGCCAGGAGCTCCAATTCCAGCCCCCCTCTCCCAAAGCAAGCTCAAGGTTTGCAGCCCAGTTCTGGGCAATGTTGAGCTGGCCAGTGGAAAAGCACCTACAATGGCAGCTTTATTGTSCATCTGCCCAACAGAAGTTGAACGAGGTCTTTGTGGTGGAACATTTTCATCAGTTGAAACAAACTTTTGTATTCTTAACCGTAAATCTTTTCCCTGGTACATACCTGGCCAACCCTACTGTCAGTGAAAGGGGCTGGATGCATACAGACCCTCAGAAAGTACAAAGAGGTATAAAAGACTGATGGGTTACAAGAACATGCAAACACCTTTGGCATTTTAGAACAAATCCTGCAGTGCACTGATCCATTCCCTATTCTGCTTCCACCCCTTCTTCACAGTTAACATAAAAATTTGCTGCCTAATATTGTTATTTTTATATCTAATTCAAAGTAGCCAAAAGGGAGGAAATTATGACATTCGGGGGGAAAAAAAAGGAAAAAAAAACAGAAGTATTTCCAAAAGTGCTCTTCTAATAACTGACGAGATATACACTATTTTTTTAAAGCATTCGCGCCAGCTATCATAAGCACGACAAGACAATGCAGCCAAGGACAGAGGGAGAATAAGAGAGGGTTTGAGCACTACAGAAACCAGCAAAGCAGGGATGCTCTCGGTGCAGGAGTGATGAGCCATACCAAGTACCCACCACCTCCATATCTTATATAATCCACACAATAGCAGGCCTGAGAAGATCACTCACCTTCCTGAAGCGTGGGTGTGCAACATATGTGACCTTCTGGGTCTCTTCAGCAGAGGAAGAGTATTGACAACGTGGGTGGGGTGGGGAGAATAAAAGAAAACAAAGATAATTAGAACCATGCTGTGTGTGTAGGGGGGGAAAAAGGCTTTGGACATTTTCACAACCTAGCTTTTGAAAGAAAAGGTCAAAGAGTAAGTGCAAAACCTACACTGGAGGTATTGTATGTCTCAGTGAGTTACTCATAATGATTCTTACTCATGCTGCTATCTAACCGATCCCGTCGTGCACTTTAAAAAGCAGAATTGCACAAATCTCCTTCGCATTCCTCCTGAAAGCTTCTCTCCTGTGATGCCTAAAAAATCACTCATGGCACAAGGCAGCTGGTGCACTGTGACTGCCACTTACTATCCCAAGCCTGGTTCACTATTTTGCTGTTTCTCGGTTCTCCCCTCCCCTATTTATCTGTTGTATTTCTCACCTATTGTCTCTTATCACTGCAGGTCCTTGGAGGCAGCAGCTGCTCCCTCAGAGCTCAGAGCCTCGAGCAGGCGGCACGGCTTGGCCCTCCAGGACCACGTGTGAGGGCAGCAGGTCCCACTCTGGTGTCCACTGCAATCACCTGGGTAAAGAGCAAAGAGGCACCGAGACCAAACACAGCCAAACCCATAAAATATTCTGTAAAAAATGTCACTGTGAGGTTACAAACATCAATTTTCAATGAAATGTCCTTGCAATAACAGGGATATCAGTCATACTATCATTCTCAGGTCAGTTTGAGAGTAACCCCCTTGACATCCTGAGAGCCACCAAGCAGCSCCTGAAGTTCTACCAAGGCACAGCAAGGTCCCTCAAGCTAGCGGGAAAATCAGGAAGGTTCTCACACCAAACTTTGACCATTCATGTGTTTTTAGCAGTAACCAGAAAACCCCAGTGGGGATGTGGCTTGTATGAAYGGCACATTCAGAGACAAAACAGGACTCAAGGAGCCAAGACAACCTTGCAGAAGTACCACATGGCAGCTGTGAGATGAGATCAATGCATTCAATGGCCAGGATTTTTTATTTCTTAACTTCCCACAAGTTTGTAACCAGGAGCCTTTGCCGGGTGGAATAAACTTCCCTTAGTGATGCCTGTCTGATGCTAGGGCTGATTTCAAGCCTCTCTGGGACATGACCTATTTTGTGGGTTTAGACTTGTTGCATAAGAAAGACAAGTGGAATTTGGGGAAAAAAAAATACAGATGAAATTACATACCTCTTACCCCTCCTACAAACAGGCAGGTCCCAAATCTTATTTATTTATTTATTTATTTATTTATTTATTTATTTATTTATTTATTTATTTTCCCTTTGGCAGTTTTCCTGTCCAGGTCCCAAATCTTATTTATTTATTTCTTTATTTATTTATTTTTCCTTTGGCAGTTTTCCTGTCCAGCACATTCTCTGCAGCTCCGAGCGAATACGACAGGATTTGCGGTCACTTCTGCTGCAGGAAGGAGGCTCCAGGGAGGCATCTTTGGACCAACCCCCCAAACCGCCCGTTCTCCCTGGGCCTCCGGAGCAGCGGCCGCGTTTCAGCGTTGCTGCCGAGGGCTCCCAGCTCCTCGGGACAGCCTGCAGGCTCCCGTGCCCTGGGCCACACACCCTGCCGTTAAACCTGTGGATCTTGACAAGAACCAGGGGGTAGCGAGCGGTTCGAGGGGCGCAGAGGCGGCCCTGGCGGGCGGTTCCTCCCCATTTACCTCAGGGACGGGGACCTCGCGCGGCCGCCCCCGCGCGG